TAAGGTATTTGAAAATGATATTTTAGACCCTATTTTTGTCGACTTCTACGTAGCTACCATCCTAACCCCCTTTAGGAAGCTAGGCCTAGTAGAGGCTATCAAATAAGGTCCGCTGAGCTACTAAGGCTGTACGGGACAGACATTAGCGATGGGACACAAATTGCAAGTTCAACACCGTTGATGACAAGTTCAACACTAGGAGATGTAGCTAATAACAATACAAACACGTGCAGGGCGAGTCTACGGCGGACATGTACGGGTTTGGGCAAAACTGGGACGAACCGGGAAGAATTCCGAAAATGTTGATGGGGAAAATTCCTCAACGCGGTGAAGGGAACACGCAGGTACACACAGGGACAGGGAGGAGCACCTGTTATACGCTGTAGACCTCTACCAGGCTTCAGAAGCGGCTGGAAGGAGTAGAAATTGGTCAAATAGATAACATATTGCTACGAGCGTAGGGGTAGGGCCCGCTAAAGGAGTAGTTTGCCGCTCTAACTGACTAACTCCCCTGATATGTTACCTGTCTACTTGGCCAATGCCTACACCTTGCAGCCGCTTTTGAAGCCTGGTAGAGGCTACGCTGTAGTTCATAGACTGTTGACCAAGAGAACAGCATGGATCGAGCGCACAGCTCCCTCAAGCTTGCACGAACGCCTATAACCTGCAGTTCCAAGGGAAGTCGTTAGTCCAACAATAGCTTCCTCCCCCAACCAAAAACCAGAAAACCACCGACCGACCGACCCACAGACCAACCAACCAACAAGTGACACTGTCGGACTGTCCGCTGATTTCTTATCCCACCCTTACACACAATGTACTGGATTCGCGGTTACTGATCACCACTAGGCGATACCAATCGGCCGCCATGTCAGCGCACTAGACAGTGAAGTTCGCCAGACTCGCCAGACCGACTGCCCTAGTCTGTCCTGACGCCATGCTCGGTGCTTCTGGACAAGTATCTGATGCCGACAGATCCTAACGTTAGACTTCCCTCCATGTAAACATCATACATGCCTGGGGGATGAGGTAGTGTGTGTTCGAAGTTACGTAATTCTCTCCCGGATGCGATTTCGACGCCACTTCAGGGCGGCAAAAACTCTATATATTTTAGATAAGGAAATCTGTCGGATGTTGACGTCTTCTGCCATTTCTTAGCACATTTTCGTCATCATTTTATTTGAAGTGTTTGAAATAAGCCCAAATTTTAAAGCTACGTGAGGAGTCCCTTTATTTCTTGGTGCCACCAAATAATAGCTAGAACCAGCCTAGAACCCCATATGTTAGCATCTACTAGCTTCGGGAAGCGGTTGGAAAGTGTAGAAATTGGCCAAATTGACAGCTACTAGTAATGTGATAGTTGGTCCGCGCTAAGAACAGTTTGAACACCTTGCCGAAGCCTGGTAGAGGCTACCATACGGGGTTAACGTTCTAGGCTAGCATGGGTACCATCCGGATTTTGCTCTGCTACGTTTTTTTTCTATAGCGTCGCGAAGCAAAATCCGGATGGTACCCACTACCCAGGCTAGTTGTAGGCTGAAGTTTCTTTTCTTGGTTTCCAGTTGCCCCGCGGTCTGGTCTGTACTATGTAGGTCACATCTCGGCTGCCATACCTGCAGGTTTACATGTAAACACACCCGGAGTCGGCAAACATTCCCCTACTCCAGACGGACACAGCTCATCAGCGCGTCTGAAATACTACTCAACATAACTACACCAAATTGGCAGGTGTTGAATGGCTTCTTTCTTTCTTTCTTTCTTTCTTTCTTTCTTTCTTTCTTTCTTTCTTTCTTTCTTTCTTTCTTTCTTTCTTTCTAATCTATCTATCCGTTGCACTCATTTCTGCTTTCCTTACACTTTCAGAACCATGGTTGGAATTTTTTTTCGGGCTTCCTTATATTTGTGCTGGGATTTTTTTTCTCCGGCAAATGGTACTGTAACTGTCTGACAAATGGATAGATCTACTGCCTGGCCAATTTGATATTGTCTTTGCAGCCTCCAAAATATCTGCTTGGAGATTAGCTTTAGGTTGCTACCACCGGGGGATGGTACCTAGCAGAAGATAATGATTGACGGACCAGTGACACCTGACCGGAAGACGTCCATCAGGCGAGGGGGGTTCTCAGCCGGACGCCGCTCGGGTGGACGGGGGAGGGGCGCCGTGAGTCAGCCTCCCGTGCAGGCCTCCGGGCAGGTGGGAGTTTTCTGCGTTTTGTAGAATTTTTAACGCGTTCTTTTCCCGGCCATCCTACAACCATGCTAGCCTCTACCAGGCTTCTGGAGGCGGCTGAAAGAGTAGAAATCGGCCAAATACTAGAGAGATAACATGCCAGGGGAGTTGGTCTGGTGGAGAGAACAGTTTGCCGAAACTCCTCTGGCATGCTATCTCTCCATTTGGCCAATTTCCACTCTTTCCAGCCGCCACCCGAAGCCTGGTAGAGGCTAGAACCAGCAGCCCAGAGAAGGTTTGTACCCGCCACGCGACGATGCATTGGGTGGCTGGTCGTAGTATATCCGGCCGCCAAAAGAACGTGTTCAAAATTCTACAAAACGCAGTATCCAACTCCCACCCGCCCGGAGGCCTGCACAGGAGGCTAGTGAGTCACCGGGATCGTGCCGGGCACGGCCTAGGTCAGACTGGAACCGCTGCTGACCGGGAATCTCAAACATCTTAATGACTTTTGTAGAAAACACGTGGGAGAATAAACATCTCACGGTACGTGCGTCCCACAAGTAGGAAACACTTCGGGCTGCCCTGGAAACGGTTCTGACAAAGTAATGCACCCCAGTACAGTCAAGGTCAAGTGTGGGAAACCGCGTAACAAGTACCTGTTAAACTACAGATTGACCTGACCATGACACGGCCTTCCATGTGCATGACATTTTACTAGATATACTGTAACATTTCTGCAACACGTATAGATCGAAAAGTTACTGTGAGATTTTTCTCTTGCCATTGCCAAAACCACGCTCATTTCTTGTTAACACTGCAGAGTTTTTTGTGTATAAAGTCATAAATGAACTTATATTTACCTCAGTTCACCACAGACTAAAACAAGGCTCATTGCAAGTCACTGAAATGTTTGTGGGTTCCGCTACGTTCATTCTGACGACAGGTGTCTGTTCGCATTTGTCTTGTGTCCAAACCAATTTGCGAATGATTTTTGAGTGTCTGATACGGAGGTTGACCTTTCGTCTCTGCATGTAATGACCAGAGATGCCGACAAGGCATTGGCAGACATGGAGAAACAGGTGTATGGAGCTAGCCTACGCACCTCGTACCCAAAGTGCCTCGTACAGCCATCTTTGGTTAAGAAGGCAAGACCCAATACTAACTTGTCGGTAGAATGTGAAATAATTTCCCTGTACAGCAAAGATGCCTTCAAGTAGGCAACATAGCGATAGGAAGGCTTCGGGTTAACTATTTAGGCCAGAATTGCGTACAAAGGTTAGACCAAAATAGGTGTACCGTTTAGCACTAAAAGAGGGGTATAGACTCTACGTTTAGGTAAAGCCGCTTCCGTTCAAAGTTAAAGATGAAAACGGAACACTTACCAACAGAATGTCTCAACTGACTGCGGATTTTTCACTCCAAGAACCAAGGACGACTCGAAAAAGCCAAGAAAGCAGAAACACCTCAGATCCCGATACCAACAGGACGCTATATATGTTAAACACTCCCAAGATCGACGATGAAAGTAGAATATCACGAGGGAAACTAACTATGCCACCACCCGGTGTTTCTAAGTTCCGGAATGAGTAAATTTTGATCTGTAATAGATAGCGCACATCCCTACACGACTGGGGGCCGTTCATTTAGGTCAGACGTGTGGGATCGTGTGGGAGTGGTACACATGCCTAGCCTCTACCAGGCTTCGGGAAGCGGCTGAAGAGAGTAGAAACTGGCCAGATAGAGAGATAACATGCCGGGAGAGTTGGTCTGCTGGAGAGTACAGTTTGCCGCACACCAAAACGACAAACTGTACTCTCTAGCGGGCAAACTCCCCTGGCATGTAATGTTATCTCTCCCTATTTAGCCAATTTCTATTCTTTCCAGTCGCTTCCCGAAGCCTGGTAGAGGCTATCGTATGCCTTCTCCCTGCCCTGCCAGGATGATATCATCACGACCCCCCCCCACCACACACACAAGGTCATTGACCTCTGCAGCCCACCTGCCCCACCACTCTGTCTCGCTCTGATTATTCCTGAGTGACGTCACGTCATGTTCCTGCCCCTAATGAGGTGAAGATGTCCTTCAAGACTGTTTTTATCTGTCAAGAAACCAGGGTACAGTTAAAGCTCATGTCCTATAGATAGCTGGATATGGCCTCCCGAACACTGGCCGAACTCCCCCCAATACAAGTAGGACTCGGGAGTAAGGTTGGCTGGTGTTCGTCAGCAGTCAGATTTGACTCAAATTCAACTCAAATTCGATTCGATTCATCTCGAAAGCTAGGCGTGACCTAAATCCGTTCAGGCTGCTCCTGAACTTCAGCCGACCTTGGTTGGTTGGTGGTCGGGGGAAGGTTCTGAATGTGTAACAGGTCAATGATATCTTTCTAGGTACCAAGGTGAAATAAAGATCACAACCTGACTCACAGAATAAAACTGCAACTAACGCAATGATCAAGCAAAGCGGTATCGCGGATCGGTTAGGCTAGTGATAATCTATTGGCAAATTCTTACTAGTTGCGCTTCTAACAATTCATAGACTCAGCAAATCAAACTATAACAGCGACTTCTCGCAGCTGCGACATTGAATAGAACAACATTAACATCAGGCAACCACTAACCCTTTTTTCTGCGCCTGGAAACTGGTGATCTCACGTGAACATACAGGTCATGCCCTTTTTCCTGATTTTGAATGAACGTCCTAATATGAATATCGACCCGTATTAAATACTCATTAGGTCGCTTGCTTTATTAGTAGGAAACACGTCGCTTGATTGCCATAAGTGAAAACCGGGGGTTGCCTGCCATGTTTTGTTCGAAACAACGCCTGACCGCGTTAACCTTGCTGCTATCTATGACGCAACACCACGTTCTAGAACGCCATTCTTTCATCACAAGGAACAGAGCCTAGCTACGCTTTCTTAGTGCTTCATGCCCTGAGATACACACAGGACATTGCTGTGGATGGAGGTAACATCACTGAGGATAATGATGAGATATTAGTGGCGTGGAGAGGGCAACCTTGAAGCGACAGCTGCCGACATGCAGCGGTACTGCACAGTGCTGGTTCGGAGAATCAGGTTTGTACAGATGAGTGTATGCATGGCCAAAACTAGTCCTAGTATGGCATGTATCAACCCGTACCCGAATTTGGTTTACTAGTTCCTATATCGAAGTTCCCGACCACTGAGTAGGGATGGATTTTAACCACGTTAACCTCCATGACCTCAAACAGTCATAAGTAAGTGTTCCAGGAAAACTGGACTTTTTAAAGTGCAAATATAAATGTATAAAGGGCACACCAACATTTCAAACAAAGTAATAAACTAATTACGTTATCACAAGATTCAACGATTCAAATTTGCTTGGTTGTCTCTTTGGCGAAAGCTATGTTACTAGTACCGTATGTGAACAAAAATTCGCCCAAATGCACCTGAAGTACCTTTATTTTCATTTTTGTAATATTCATTTTTGTTTTAAATGGCTATTTCACTCCTTTTTGTCTGTACCCACAGTACCAGCGCCGCCCACAGAGCCCAACAGAAAACCAAGTCTTTCCACAAGTTACCCCGGGGCGCGGCTATGTTACAGGACTCACGGTATTACAAGGTGAGTGGAGAAAGGGTCTTCATTTTGGACAAATATATCACAAAGCAACCAACCGGCCTTCTCAGTGGACATTGCAAACCACAGGAAAGAGAAGCGTTTCCCCACCACGCCCGTGGCTCTTTAAATTGCCCAAGTGACACAAAATGTTAATATTAATATATTACATATAGCTATATTCAGACGTAATCTCCAAGCAGATCTTTTGATATCTGCAAAGACAGTATCAAATTGGCCAGGCAGTATCCATTTGCCAGGCAATATCATACTACCAATTTGCCACTAGAAGACTGGCGTAAAAAAGGACAACAGTACAAAAAAGAAATCCCGATAAAAAAAGCCTAGAACATGTCAAAAATAAGTCGAAGCCTAAATTTCTGCTCAAGAATATATCAGAAGTACATTTATTTATTTATTTGCAAGCTTCGCAAGTACTTCCGCATTCCAGTCCACTTTCGCTCTTTGTTGTCAAGTTTGGCGCGCTGCTCTCTGATTGGCCGGCGCTCTGGGTCAGATAAAAATGGCCGACTCAGTTTAGGAGACAACCACCAAACATCGTCCGCGTTCAGAAATTTCGTAGCGTTTTCAGGGTAGCCATGGCTTCCAGAATCTCACAGAAGGGGCTTCAATTCTTTAGATCGTCCGGTCACAAAATACTGCGCAATTCAAGGACGAACAAGGTAAGAAAAATGCGCAAAAACCACCTATGCGCAGCGGCGTACCGCTATGTTTCGAGGTCACATATTTTGTTGATATCCCGGTTAAATTTTAACAACTGTTGACCTTCGCCTCGTTCAGGCAAGGTTTATGTGTTTTGTTTCCCCTTGAACAACTCTCCAGTGCGCCCAGTTTAAATCTGGTGAGGTTCGTCAGTTTGGCTAAGCAGAAAAACACATTCCTAATTTCTGGTTTGACGTTTGAGGTATTTTTGTAACCGACAGTTTGCGACACATAAGGATACATCTATCATCTATGTTTGGATTGCTTGTAGTACAGCTTGTATATGTGTATGTCTTTGGGCCTTTTGCTGAAACGCAGCCATATCTGCACAGAGGTCATGTGCAATGTTAACTCGTTTCGTAGTCAGGGATTTTGTCCTTCATAACCAGGTCCAGGGTCCCTTTGGGCGTCGGGTGGGCGGGGCAAGTTGGGTGATATATGATTTGCCTGTACATGTCACCTTCATCACACATACATGATTATGTTACGAGTACGTTATCGTTATACACAAGATGAATAGGTCGTTTAAGTATACATAACGCTGGTGCACTACCTTGCCGTTTTTTCTTTGTAAATTGCATTCTGTTTGATAGAGATTTTGTCCTTTAGAAAGCTATCAAGTATTAATCTAAATTATTTTGGGAATACTATATTGAGTAATATGATGAATATTTAAAGTGAGAGTTGTGCTTGGCTCTTGTTCCATATAACAGTTACATGTATATACTTCAAGATAGACACAAGATATTTTAAATTCAAGTCACTTCCTTTGGTTAACAATATTGCAGTACCTCATTTCGTCAAAAGGAGTCTCTTTTGAAGGTTGACATCTGCGAGTTTGATATATAGTTTATATAATCACTACTTTTCATTGTGTTACTGTAAAGATAGCATAACAGAGCTATTAGATGTTTAAGGGAAAATGATTTCATGATTTTATTACACATGCCTTTTGGGCAGGCTGATTTTCATCTGGTAGGAATAATTTGTCTTATTTCTCCAAATTTCCCTAAATTAAAGGCAGTCTGTCAGGAATAATGTAATAATGGCATTGTCTCTGGTTGTGATTATTCTGAATAAAAAATTCTGCTCCAGGACAATTTTGTATTACTAGCACCTGGTCAAAGTAAAAATATGACGGCACATTGCTAAGCTTGGCAGGTCACTTGTCGGCATGCCACAGGGCTGTATCGTAATGCTTCGACGACTTGTGTCGCCCCTAGCGTTGACCTGTGACCTGACCTCTGACCTCACAGTAATGGACAAACCTTTGCGTGTTCCGACAAACATGACCCCGGAGAGATGAGGCAAACTGACAGCAAGGTGGTAAGGACAGGATGGCAGATGTTGGGGGAAAAGGACTGTTAGAAAAACTGACCAGTCAGGAAACTTCACAATTCTCCACCCCAATATCTGCTTGGAGATAAGTGAAAGTTTGGGTGTTGGCATGTTGCCATATGTCCTGGTCAGGCCTTCTGTGAGGGCCTGCATGGGGGGTCCCCACAACGCTCTACGCTAAATTTTGAGAGCCGGCTACATATTACGCTGAATTCAAGAAGCCTCCCCATTACATTTTATGATACATTCCGGGTAGGTACAACGCATAACGTAGAATTAAAACAGCAAATTAAGCTCCATGCAAAAATGTACCGTGTACGTGTACTCTACGATGTAGAGTGGTCCATCAATTAAAACGGCTGATTATGCTCTACGGAAAAGGGCATACATACTTTTGTACATACATACTGTAGAAGTGACATAGGAGGATGGTGCAAATGTTCACGATAATATATGAGTCGATAATGTATGAGTCCGCAAAAGTGACCATAAACTTATGAGCCACATTGTACATGTATCACACATTGACACATGTCCCTCTCAGTCACATTAAGATTTTTAACTTCATACTTTGAAAGTTTGAATAGACTTTCAGAATACCGTAAGTTTGACAGTAAAAATAGAGAGGATCATTCTCAAGTTCTCAGCCCATATCACCACTTTGAACACTGAAAACTGGGTGACAATCACTGACATCTGTGTCCCTACAGGACTTGAATACTGTACAATCAAAAGCCTGGTCATTTTCCTTCTCAGATTCAACCAGGGCAGTGTGATTTCTCCTCCATATCCCTGAGGTTACCCTGAGGTCAAACAATGTTGATACAAGAGATTACAGGGTCGGCTAACCCAGGGTTATAAATAAGAAGTGAAAGTAGATGCAGTGTATCGCCTCCGAACAATGCTGGGCTTTGTAAGTTCCACTGTAGCCAGCGTTCGCCATTCCATTGGAGGGAATTTGCCACTCATGACAGAAAGAATTTTACCGCTCAAGACAGACAAAAATTTTGCCCAGTCGGTCATCTTTGGCAGACCAAAATCACAGTGTAAAGATATGTAGAGATAATACCTCTCTATATATAAAGAGGTGTCAGTAAACTAATCTTATAGCCCACCAGCAAAAAATTGTCCCTCAAAATATATGCACAAAATAGTGTTTCAGAGGGTCAAGACTTCTAAATTTTCTTGGGGGAGCCTGCGCCCTAGGATTCGCCTTCAGTGCTCGTCAATGAAAAATGAGATGAGATGGCAGAAAAAAAAATTAGGCTGGCTAGAACACTGACTCTAGGTCTCATCATTATAACTCACACAGTAACACTACTAACAGTTAGTAACTGGTACCATAGATAACTGTCCTTGTCTTCCCTTAATTTTACGAGCCTGAGATTTTATGGGCAGTGATGATCTCCAGACCACAGCCCTTCAACCCGTCCTATCAAGATGCAACAGCTGCAACTTAAGAGGTTTATCTAAAGACTTGTTCCATTTATTTGTAAATGTCTGAGATATGGTGAGTTATGGTTGTTCCTGGGACAGGGTTAGACAAGCCTCCTTCTATCTTAGGAGATTGGTTTCGTAAGAGGTTTTTGTAGTAAAGAAAGACACAACTAAGTATTGAGTAGACCATACTGGAAATCTAATATGTGAAATGAAAGAAAAGAATCAGAATGTGGATTATGACAATTTGTGTAGGACAAGTGTAGAACTTGTACTGTAGTGAAGGTAGTCGGTGCTTTTAATTTTGTGAGTATTTCACTTCTAGTATGGCACTCTTCTAGCTTTTTAAAGATGAAATACATACAATGCACTTTCTCAATCAAACATAATCAAAGGATATGATCCATATATGGCCTATTAACAAAAGTGTACCATGATGTATACTAGTAATGTTAATAGTCTAGTAGATAATTTTCTGAGGATTTAAAATTTAAACACTCACCTTTTGTGTTGAAGACACAGTGACCGAGTTTCTGCTGAACTTAAACGTCACACTCTTGTTTGACCAGACAATGGATCGGGAATTTAAAGAGGACAGCAAAGGCACATACCACCAAGACAGATTCCACCCAGTCTCCTACCACCAACATTCTGGGCATGTGCTTTGATAGTCAGCTATCACACAAGTTGGGACAGAACAACCAGGGACAGTTCATTGGTGCTGGGGGAGGGTAGTCTACCATCTTCTGTTGACTGTCAAAACTTTACAGACAACTTTTCCCCTGTGCTGTAAGTTCTGTACAATTGATATTGTCTAAATCTTCAATCATCACCAATCAAAAGATAATTTGGGTTGCCTCCAGTCCTGTTAGGAGCATTACTGGACGGTCCCCATGAATGTTCGCACTGACCACTTGTCCTGTCCCACCATTGGGCAGCCTGGAATGACCTCTAGTGACCCTGTCACAAAGTGTCTGGCCACCCAAGTATGAGATGGACATTACCTCCTGGGCATATATAGCCTGGTATCCAAACCTACATAGCTGTTGGCCATGCATATGGGGCTCTTTCCTCCTCCCCACAATTTGAGGCTATTTTAATCATTGATTGATCATTAGGATGACACTAAAAAAGCTAATGCAAGCGGGGGGATAAAAAAACCTCAGAGTTTTTTTTTTAGAACAGACAAAAGTCTATGCACAGGCAGGTGTCATAGAATTAAGTTAGCCAGGTTAAGTTCTTGACCTGGTAGTACGAAGCACAGGTAATAAACTTACTGAAGTCTCTCACGGTACTGTCAGCCTGTCCGAAAGTTTGGTCTATTCTGCCTCCGTCATTCCAAACTCAAAGAGGTCAACTGGAAAAGAAAATAGCTTAGTTAAGTTAACTTTTACAATGTCTTCTTGTCCTCTAGACCTCTATCTAGATACATTATAATATATCACAGGAAAATGTACTAGAGAATTTCAAGGCTTAGCTCTCAACTCAACAGTTGACATCAATTTTGAAAAATCTTTTCTTGGAAACATCTCTGATACTGATGTAGGCTTTATACAAGAGAAAACATAAGGATACCTCCCCAACAAAGCCTTGAAATGACTGAAAAGGAGGCTAGATCCTAAGCCTGTTATTTTTCTACAGGTCACTTATTACCTGTTGTTCTCCATATGTCATACTCCCTAAGAAAGCCTAAGGATCTGTACACAGACCAAGAATTGCCCGTTCGCTCGGTCGCGTGTCCACCTGTAAGCCAAAGGACCTGTTCCTGCCGACAGGCACTTTTCACGGTGCTGTTTATGTGCCTTTGACCTTTGGTATCTCGGTGGGTGGTTGATCCGCTGTGTTGTTAACTACTGTCTCCTCACTAACAACTGTCTGCTGGGGTTTGTCAGCTTCAACAGTTGGTTTCTCTTATTGCAAGTTTTTATGGAACGTCAGTGCTGTCTTAAAATGCAGACATAAAGCCAGGCAAGGAGAATGACTTCTTAGGCCTTGGGATAGAAATGTTGCTTTTCTAATTTCAGTCCTGAAAAAAATAGGATCAGTAGATAAGGATTCTCTCTCTCCCCCACCCTCTCTCTCTCTCCCTCCCTCTCTCTCCCCTCCCTCTCTCTCCCCCCTCTCTCTCTCCCACTCTCTCCCTCCTTTCTTCATTAGGTGTACTACAACACAACAATTTTTGTTTCTAACAAGCCCTAAAGTTGCTCAGACTTTCTTTTGATTTTCCCCATGGCAAGTCCTAGAGAACCAGTAGTTGAGAACCAATACAGAAAGATGGATGAGCATTGTAAGCCACTGATTAGGGCAGTTAAGAACAGATAATTGGTACTAACGACCACGAAATCACAGCCACACATACCAGGACTCAGGCCTTAAACGCTTTATTGTGTAGAGACTACAATGTAAGTAATCTCTTGGATCTTTTGGAGGCTGCAATACAGCATCAAATAATGGCAAGAGAGTATGAAACTGGCCAGGCAGTGTCCATTTGCCACCCAAAGCTGACGTAAAAAAATACAAGAGCAGAAAAGATATTTTGATAGAAACGTCTGAAAAATAAGCATGAAAGTTCATCTGAGTTGGTAAATTACATTATGAAAAACTTAAACTGTTCTCTAACTCAAAATTTGACTCACCAAAAATTTTCGACTGAATCACTCAGTCTTCCTCAGCTATCTGACAATGTCTGACCCAAATGCTGTGGAATTTTCCCACGTGTGACATAGCAAAGTGTCAAAGGTTGTCTGAAGTTGATATTGCCCCCCCCCCGTCCCAAAAAATAAGCCGAGGCCTAACCTCTGCTTGGAGAGTATAGAGCTAGAGTAGGGAAGGCATGAAATAACCCCTCCCCTCACACACACAAGTAAACAACATTTTCCACATAGCTGTGAGTCTACCACAAGTGTCCGTGTTGACTGACTGTTGTCAAGTTGCACACAGAACATTTGTCTTCCTTAGCCATCATGTCTGGATTCTCTTTTCTGAAGGCCGCAGAGTGATCGGAATCATGTTTTCATCATTGGTCTCCTTCCGTTTTGGTAAACGATGGGTTTTTATTACAGTTTTCAGCAGTTTTTAGGTATCAAAATGTAAAGGATGTCTCAAAAAGTAAGTCGTATTACTGTATTAACATTTAGTCAAGTCTTAGAGATGGAGAAAGACGAAAGCACAAGAAAAGCGATTTAAAACAGTTTTTGGTCCTTACTTGAACTTTTTGGCAGTTCTCGGGTATCAACATTTAGGATGTTTTAAAATGTAAGCCGTAACTGAAGAAATGGATAAAAGATTGAAAACACTTGTATACAAGAAAATTTGTATACGAGAAAATTAAGGATCATGGATATCTGGTAGACCCCAATGACGGCCTCTCTATCTGACAACCAGGGCATGGTGACAAGCTTAACTCTGGCATCTTTGATGGATCAGGTCTCACCACAGTGTTTACTAACATGTACTTGTCACATCAGCATGGCCAGCACTTCCACAAAACCCATATGAGATACACTGTGTAATACTACTGTTCCACACTTGGAGTTAAGGCATACCATACTTTCCCCATGATTGTCATTTCATTTCATCCGCAAAATTTAAATTTCTAGCAGATTTTGAATTAAGGACATTCAAACATTCATTGTAGAACATGTTTTAGTTCAAGTTGTTTCTTTCTTACCTACATGTATATCTCAATTAATTTCTAATTTCTTATTGGCTATAAAATTCTATAACAATTATGATATTTCCAGTTTGATTGGCCTATAAAGCCTACTAGAGGTAGATGTCATTTTATACCCTTAAAGTTTAGCGAATATTATATTCATCTTCAGTATCTAAGCTTTCTTTGTTACAATATTATGTATAAGGAGCTAATTATTCAATTACTGCTTCTACTATCCTATACTAGATTTGTCCAGGAATAACTTTTATTTACAGGGGTCGAAATACCTCTCTGTGTGCAACTTGGTGCAAGTGAATTTGGTGTAGTGCAACTAATATTTTGCCGGTATGCACCGGTGCAAGTTTGCTTTATCCACTGTTACTACCTGTAGAATTACCCAATAATAAAGAACAGTACTGGAAACTTGAAAGGGAACAAAACCAGAATCCATGAAGTTTTTCTTCATTTTTTGTCATTAACAGAAGGTTACTACATGTATCTATGTCGCTGCCAGCGGATGTTTCCTATCACTTCTTTGTTGCAACTACATGTACTTTTGGTTGTGTACCTATTATTTTTGGGGGGTGCAACTATTTTTCTTCTGGTGCAAGTATTTTTTGTTTCATCTGCACCAGTGCAAGTTGGCCCCAAAATCTATTTCGACCCCTGATTTAGATAATACTTCAAAGTCTTCCTCTTCTTATAAGAGACTACAAAGGATTAGAATTAATCCCAGATAACTAATCAACAGTCTGTTTTCTTTCAAAACATGTAACTTGTTGTTCTGATATGTCTGATAAACAAACTCAAAGTAGGTCAATGAGACAAGGAAGTCAGTTTCCAAGTAATGAGACTATCCTATCAGCTTAAGACAGATGAACAAAGTGAATGTTGCTCTAAATGTTTCAGTATTAAAGTTAATATTATCAAAGTACATGTACATTATATTTGTTTTGAACAAGTAGTCTGCACCAGTCTTCATGATCAGAGGTGGATAGAGTAGAAATTGGCCAAATACTTACTGAAATAGACAGATAACATGCCAGGGGAGTTAGTCTGCTAAAGGAGTGCAGTTTGTTGCTTTGACGTACTCCCTTGGCATGTTATCTGTCTATTTGGCCAATTTCTACTCCATCCAGCCCCCTTTGAAGGCAGGTAGAGGCTACTTAATCGCTTGTTCATCTATTAGTCCAATTCTACTCTTTCCAACTGCCTCCAAAACCTGGTAGAGGCCACAAAACAAGGCCCTCTCCCACGAAAAGAACCTGCTGCTCTAGCCACTCATAGAAACAAACTCAGCCATTCTAGAAGTCTGCATAGGATGCTAGCTACTAGCCTGAGTGTCAGCCTTTTTAGCTTTCATCAGCTTCCCACGATATGCTATTTGGCCGGTAGCGGATCATGAGGAGTGGACGAAAGCTAAAATAAAGAGGCTGACACTCAGGCTAGCTATCTACACCGTTACACCCTCCTTGCTAAAAGTAAAACTGAGATCAAGACCAAATCTGGGCCAGCCTGATCCCCCCTCATTGATACCAGATCAGCAGCAGGACTTCAAAGGACAGAACTGCCTCCCTGGAAGCTGCCCAGATGGGGAGAAGGGCAGGGAAAACAAGACAAATGTGGGAGCCTCCCTCATGTATCATCTCAGTAATGGCCACTTTCACAGACATTCTTGTCTTATCAGTTGGTGTGATCAGGGATGGGTAGCTGATGGCAGACATGATATCTAGATGATCTGTCTGGTGGACAGGGACTAGAGGTAGCCACTTCCATGGTTGTTTAGACATATCTTGTCTACAACTTACGCTGAGCTTGTTTCTCAATGCAGCCCATCCTACTAATTATAAGATATGTAAGATAGTTGACATGCTTGTCTTTTACACTGTACATGTATAATGTATAGACATGGTATCTGTCTGGAGTGGTGGACAGGGACTAGAGTTAGCCACTTCCATGGTTGTTTAGACATTATCTTGTCTGCAAGCTTGTTTCTCAATCTGCCCCAGTCGGTAGGGCAGCCCACCCTACTAATTTTAAGATATGTAAGATAGTTGACATGCCTACATGTACATTTTAAGTTTTATACTGTATAATAATTTATAATTTACAGGAATAGTGCAAGGTTTTATTACTGGAAGTATGCATTGACAAGAGAACTTTTAGTAAGTTTTACCAAGTCTCAAAGTCTCATGACCATGTGAGTAAACTTGGCCAAAAAATTATTATGTAAGATAGTTGGCATGCCAACATTTTATAGTATAGAATATCATAATTTGCAGGAATATTGCTAGTTAGTTACTGGAAGCATGGGTTGACAAGCAAACTTTTAACAAGTCTCAAAGTCTACTGTGAGTAAATCTGGACGTAAAACTATTGTTATCTATTCTAATCTGCTGAATAAGAGAAATTTTGAACAGTTGTGATCATATTTAGACACTTTTTTAAAGCATTTTCTGTAGACCCTATATAAAACACATAAAGCAGATAAACTAGACTGTATCTGATCTCTCTATCAGCCCATTTAGCCCTAATCACAGGAAATATATGGTGAGGAAATTGGTGTTTATGTTGCCAACGTTCTATGGCCCATTGGCGATACCAAAGTACCAGGTAGTTAAGGCCCTGCCCAGCCTATACTAATGACCATTTAATCACCCTGGTGGATATCATGGTCTTTAGAAGCTAATGAGAAACAGGAA